CTGCGCACCAAGCGCGTGGACCTGGTGCAGCCGCGCTATCCCCGCTCCATCGCCCAGTACTGGCTGGACTGCCCGCAGCCCGGGGAGGAGAGCACCTGAGTGGGATCCCCGGAGCCGCCGGCAGCACAGCCCCAGCTAGACAGAAATAAACTGTGAGTGCCGTGCAGGCTGGAGAGCCCCGTGTGTATGTCCATACAATGGGTCTGTGTGATCCTTGTAGTCCCAGATCCCTGTGTCCCCGAGAGCTGTGGTTGTCCCCCCAGTCCGTGCCAGATCCCTGCTGCTGGCCCCATCCACGGTGCGACTGTGGCTGCTCAGATCTGCTCTGCCAGCCAGTCCAGTGCCTCTTCCCACTGGAGGAGAGGGACAGTGCCGGCAGCTGCCAGCAGAGAGCCATCAGGGTTAGCTCTCCACTGCCCCTGGGATCAGTCCATAGCCCCATGTGTGAGTGGCTGTGCTGAGGATAGGTGCCCATCCTGGAGGGACCCCATCTGAGGCCCTACCTGATCTCCCCTCATTGCCTTGCTCACCTCTGGTCTCTGGCAATCCTGGCCATGGTGGTGCCGAAGGGATGACCCTTCCCTCAGGGCTGGGACCGCGCTCTGGGCCTGGGAGCTCCCGAGGGAGTGGGTGCTGCTGAGACAAGCTCCTGCTTCTGCCCTGGCTCCTGCCATGAGGACATGAACAAACCCTGACCCACTGTCTCACCACCGCCCCAAAACCCCAAGGGCTTCCTGAACTGCAGCTGATGCCCAGTGGCCCTGGCTCTCACCGCTTTCCCTGGTGTGGCTGGGGGTGCCTGTGGAGCTGATGGGAGCCAGGCAGACCTGTGTCCTCCTGTCTGAGGGGCAGAACACCAGCACTTCCCTCGGGGGGAGCCGGCTGCAGCATGGGGGGCACTGGCAGTACCTGTGGGAGAGCAGAGAGGGCAAGGCTGCTATGCCACACTGTGCCACCCCCCTCCAAAGAGCCCTGGGGCTGTACCTGGGACACGGTGGCATCAGCTGGCCCGGGACAGCACTGTGGGCACCCTGGGCAGCTGGAGCGGCCGGAGGCAGGAGGCAGCTTCTGCAAGAGTGGACAGCAGCAGGTGGGTGGTTTATGCATCCTCCCCTTGCCATGGGCAGGATATGCATGGAGCCCAGGGTCCCCCACTCTCACCGGCAGCCGGGGGATGGAGGCAGACGTTGTGTTGGGCTGTCGGAGCCTTGTGGAGTGGCCAGGGGGGATTTGGGGGGCGTGGGCACTCCGGAGCAGGGGCTGGTTGTCACAGGAGCTGCGTGTGGCTCTGTGGGAAGGGCCATCTGGGATGTCACCACTGGGGTCTGGGGACAACCAGGGCTGCCTGGGGAGCAGTGAGGGAACATGGCAGGGCGTTGGCAACCTTCAGAGAGCCTCAGAGCCCTGCCCAGCCCCAAAGAGTTCCTGGGAGAAGCTGGCCGGCACTGAGTGCTATCCAGCTGGGGGCTCTGGCTGTCCCATTGACCCCTTGATGCCCTGTTCAGGGGTCCTGCGCATGCCCCCCATACCTCATGTGCTCATTCTCCACCACGAAATCCCGCAGGAGACCGTAGAGGCTGGGCCAGGCTGGCGTTCCCTCCGAAGGGAGCTGCCTTTCAGGAGGGAGGTGATGCAGCCCTGTGGGGCCGTACCTGCCTCCCCAGCTCAGGCAAGCTTTTGGAGGGTTCCCTGGGACCTCTGTGCTCCTCACTGGCACCCTGGGCAGGCACAGCTGCTGGCGCAGGGAGAGGTTTTCCAGCTTTAGGGCATGGATTTCTTCCTCCAAGGTTTGCAGCAGCTTCTCCCGGGACACCTGGGAGCATAAGGGGATGGCTCAGGGGGGTCCAAAAAGAAGGGCAGAGGGGCTCAGAAGGGTTCCCTGTCTGTAATACCCTGTTGGCCAGGGGTCTGGTGGTGACCCTCCCAGCCCGGCTGGCATAGTGCAGTGTACTCAGTGTCTCTGAGAGGCAGCGTGAGGATGGAGAGATGCAGGCGACCTGCAGACAAGGAGGAGACGCAGGTGAGCTGTCACTGTCCCCCTCCAGCCCTCCAACCCATGGGGCAAGCCCCCTGCTCAGCCCTCCTCCATGCATGTACCATCAGGGTGACGCCTGAGCCGCCCAGGGAGCGGGCCAGCAGCCGGGTGAGCTTGCTGTCCCGGTATGGGATGTGTGTCCACTTCCCTCGGGGTTTGGCCAACAGAGAGATGCAATGTCCTGCCGAAGGATGAGCCACAAAGGATGCAACAGGGCTCTGGTGAGGACCAGCAGCTTGTGCTCCCCTGGTGGGTCACACAACTCTTACCCAGTGCCAGGAGGCTGCGGTTGATGCTGTTGGCCTCCATGGAGAGCTCCCCACTGGAGCCGGTCTCCTTCACCCGCTCGCTGCCGGCTAGGTCCACGAAGCAGAGTGTGCCCTGCTTGCTGGGGCAGGTGCTGGGCTGGGGGACCCACGTTGGTGGAGTAATGCTTTGGTGCCCCTCAACCCTTCCCCGTGGCCCACAGCAGTGCCCCGACCCCTGGGTCTGGAACTGGGCTCCCTGCTGCTCACCACAGCCCCACCATTGTGACCTTGAGGAGGAGGACATGATCCCACCAGCCTGGGGCTGTTTGTACCCCCACAATGAGCCCTGGACCCCCCAAACCCTCCCCCAGAGCAGGACATGTGCTCACAGCCCGGCTGCGGATGTGGATGGTCAGAAGAGCATGGCTGCGGCTTGAGTGCCTGTTGAGGGCATGCGCTGAGGTTCGTCGCCTCTGGGATCCTGCCAGGGATGGAATTGAGAGCTGCAGGGAGGCAGGACACCCCACACTCTGGTAGGGCACCCACTGCCCACCCCCTGACAGACAGGAGCCTGCCTTGGCTCTGCGACAGGAAGGGAAGCTGTTACTCTTGGCTGTCATTGGAGCCCCACCAGCCCTGGGAACAGACTGCAGGGGGCTGAATCCCCCCATACCAGGTCTAGAACTCCCTGAACATGCCCCAGTCCTGCACCCGTGGCACAGCACCTTGCAGGAGCAGGCTGACAATGGCCTCCAGGTTCTCGAAGTCCACGCTGAGCTGGTTCTCCACGTAGAAGCCACGGGTTTTGCTCCACCGCAGGGGCAGAGCGCACGGCGGCCCCGGGCTCAGCAGGTCCCGGACCTGCGGGTATGGCAGAGGGAAGGCACAGGGGCAGTGGGGCACAGAGTGCCGGCAGGGCCGGATGGGGGGCTGGGCAGGCACTTACCTGCTCGTTGTAGATCTCGAGGTAGGAAGCACTGAGAGCCAGGTCTGAGCCACGGCTCCGGCTCTGCTCCAGGAGGCAGGCGAAGGACCTCTGCATCAGCCCCAGCAGGGCCGGGGACGCCGGCTGGGTCTCACTCTGCGGAGATGCCAGAATGGTGAGTGATCAACAGTATTGGGCACCCACCTGCTCCGAGAGCGCATGACCGAGTGGGAAGAGCCCATTCCACCACCAGGATCAGGTGAGGTGCGGAGGGACAGCAGTGTACCTGGGTGAGGGGTCCCATCAGGGTGTAGGTCTTCCCCGAACCTGTCTGCCCGAAGGCAAAGACGGTGCAGGAGAAGCTGGGGAAGATGCTGAGAGTCAGGCATGGCCCCAGGCCGTGGCACAGGGATGCCACCTCCCGGCACAGCCCCGGCAGTGCAGACCCGCCGACGATGCCCGGCGTGGGGTGGATGGAGGTCTGGGGTCCACGGGGGGCTGGCCAGGACTTACCCATCTATCGCCAGCTCCACCAGCTGCCTCATCCCGCTGCCTTCGAACACAGCCTCCTGTGAGGCGCTGGCGTCGAACACGGCGCTGAACCCAAAGGTGGCATCGTGCCTGGCCGCGCTCACCTGGGCGTGGGGACAGAGGCAGCTCAGAGGGTGCCGCAGCACCCCCCGACCCCCCGGCTGGCAGGTGGCACTTACGTGGACCGCACCGTCACCGAGGCTATGCACAACCCGCCGGTCACCTCGCCGCGTCTCCGTACAGGTCAGTGGTCGGACCCTAACGATGGGGCGTGCACGGGAGGACACAGAGGTGTCACTACTTGTGGACTCTGGGGAGCTCCGCTGTGCCCCTGCCCCAGGCAGGGAGATCCCTGCCGCGCTCCCGAGCCCTTCGCGTCCCCCTCCTTACCTTAGCACCACCCTCAGCCGCGTCTCTCTGCCCTCCACGGGGCCCTCCCGCTCCTCTCCGGGACTCCTGTGGGGAGCAGAAGGCAGTGGGGTGGTGGGTACCTCCCAGCTGGGGGTTCTGCCGGCCGGCACCCCGGGGGCTGGGGTAGAGGGAGCCGCAGTCATGCTGCGCTCAAGCCGCCCTCCCACGCCCACTGCGCCCCGGGCCCTGGCAGGGGACAGAGCTCAGTGTTCCCCCATGTCTCCGCAGAGGGACGGTCCAATGCCCCCAGACTATTTGCGATGCCTCCCCCGCCGGCTGCATCAGCCGGGCCGTCACTGCCCAGGTCCTGCTGCTCCAAGACGCAGTGGCCTCCCTCCGCTCCGTCTCCCTCACAACTTACGGTCTCTCCTGGCCCCGTGGGAGCGTTCCGGGCCGGCGGTCCGTCTGGGGCTCCCCGCCCCGCTCCCCCTCCGGCTCCATGCGCCCTCCAGCACCCCGCACTTGGGGGTGCCCGCAGCTCCCGGCCGGCCCCGGCGGGAGCCACCGCCAGCCGGCCCGGGCTGCCCCGCACAACCGGTACCACCGCTCCGGTTAAACATTGACCGTGCCAGCCCCGCAGGAGAGCGGCGGCCGCACAGCGGGGGGCGAGCGGGGGGGCGGGCGGGGAACCGGGGAGGGGGCGCAGGGGGCAGATGGGTCACCGAGCCCGGGGATCCTCACGGGTCGTACAGTGCCCCGACGGCGGCGGGGGGGATGCCAGTACGAGCAGTGGTGGGATTACTGGTCCCCGGGGGTGCAGGGGGGGACGGCCCCCGAGTCAGCCGAGGCTATCGGGCACTGCCATCGGGGGTGCGGAGCGAGGACCGGCCCCGGGAGCCGTCGGGAAGAGATGGGGGGGGGCAGCACCGCCCGCTCGGGGCGGTCCCAGCCCGCCGGGGGGGACTCGTGGGGGATAAAAGCCGGGGCGGCGGCGGCGGGGCCGGGGGAGCCGGGCAGGATGAGCGCGGCCCCGGGCACCTCCCGCGCCCCCCAGCCCCTGCTCCGCTTCCCCGAGGGGGCGGGCGGGCCGGGCGGCGGGCGGGCGGCGGGGGGAGGTGGCGGCCCGGGGCCGTGCCCCTGCCCCTGCCCGGGGGGGCCGCGGAAGCGGCGGCGGACCACGTTCAGCCGGGGGCAGCTGTCGGAGCTGGAGCGGGCCTTCGCCGCAGTGCCCTACCCAGACATCGCCACCCGGGAGCGCCTAGCCGAGCTCACCCAGCTGCCCGAGGCCAAGATTCAGGTGAGCGCGGACGGGACCCTCCCCTCCATCCCACCCTCCCGGGGCCGGGACCTCCTCTCTTCCCCGGGGGGCTGCCCCGTCGGGCCGCTGTCCGCGTCTCACAGTTCCCCTCGCCCGTCCCAGGTCTGGTTCCAGAATCGCCGCGCCCGCAGGATCCGCAGCGCCAAACCGGAGCCTCCGCCGCTACCGCCGCTGCCGCCTCCCGGGGAGCGGGGTCCCCCAGCGGCACCCCCCGACGGCAGCACCCCGGGCCCGGCCCCTGCCCTGCCGCCGCCAGGAGCCCGCAGCCCCGCTCGGGGCCTCCCCACCTCGCTGGGCTCCATCTCCGACCTCATCTACAGCGCGGCCATCACCAACCTGGGCGAGCTGTAGCCGTGGTGGGGACCCCCTGGGCACTGGGGACCCCCATGGTATTGCGGCCCCCACGGATTAGCGCCACGATTTCATTAGGGTGTGGAATTACTGCCGGTCCCGAAGGTCCCGAGGATGTCATCCAATATCCTAAATGTCGGTGCGGCTGTGGCGGGGGCAGCTCCCCATCAGCCCCCTAATACCGACTAATCTTTTGGAAAAAAATACCTTAATCTGGGGCCGTATCCACGGATGATTGTGGCACGGCCGCCCCTAATCCGCAGGCACGTTCGCAGGTGCCGGCAGATCTCCCCGTATCGGATATTAAACTGTGTTTCCACAGGGGCTTATCTGCCATCAGAGCATTAATCACCGTGTCCAGCCCTGGCAGGGTGCCCACCCGGCAGGTGTCCAGATCTCCTGGGCCTGGCAGGGACAGCCTGGGTGCCCCCTCCCCACTGTGGCTGCACTAAGCTGGCTCTGCTCTCTGCTCCGTGACACCCAAAAAGGCCCCAGGATGTGCATTAAGGTGCATCCCTTCCCTACCCCCAGAAGCTGGGTACCCTTTGGCAGAGGGTTGGGAGCACCATGCACCCCTCGCTGCTCCATCTACAGCTCCTGCTCCTCCCTGAGGCACCAAGAGCCACAGGGCCATGGCTCAGGTCATGCAGCTCCTGTGTGAGGACACTGAGCCGGGTGCTGACCCCAAAGTGGCTGCACCAGACTCTGTCATCCTCCTGAACGGATCTGTGTGGATGGGGAAAGGGCTCGTCCCCAAACACCAGCTGGGTTGGGTGCTGCCATCTGAGCCTCGAGAGAATAACGGTTCCCAAAAGCAAGTGACAGATCAGACAGAGCAGAGGGCAGGCAGAGGGGGGTTTTGACATGGGATGGAGCAGGATGTGGAATGCAGAGGGAAAGGAAAGATTCACAGCTCCCTGTGGTGTCTTTCAGATATGTGTTCCATGTACCAGCAGATGTTCCCCAACATGAAGGAAGAAGGTTACAAACACACAATGTTATTTATTTCCAGAATACAAGGACAGGAACTTCACAGGAGAACAGGAATGGTGGGAGCTGATGCCCCTCTCCATGCTGGGGTGGTCAGAGTCCACAGCCATTCCCTCTTCTGTTCTGCAGCTGGATTTTCAATCCATAATTCATGGATTTTCAATCCATAATTCATTTCGGGAGCAGGAAGCAAAGGACGAGCCTGAGGAATGCAGCCATCTTCCCGTAGCAGGAGCAGGTAAAAACAGATGGGACAAGACAAAACTGTTCCAAATTAACGGCTCCTGGGGAGGACAAAAAGCCTCCAGCACGAAGGCTGCAGTTCATGGTCATAGTTTCCCAAGGTCCCCTTCGAGGGTCCGCACCATCACGTACAGCTCGGCCAAGCCCACCACCGAGGCCACAATGACGGCTGACAGGACGCGCTGGGGACATAAAAGAGAGAGGGGTGACCCTGGGTGTGCGGCCGTGGTGCCACTCTGGACTGGGCAGCACAGTGTGCTGCAGGGAGGCCGTGCTCGCTCACCGCTGCCGTCTCTGCGAAGACGTACTGGCTGCCCAGGTAGGTGCAGGCGAAGGCGGCCACCACGGTGACAATGAAGTTGAATATGGTGATGACAACGGCCTTCACGGAGCGCACTGGGGGAGAGAAGGGGGCAAGTGGTTGGTTTTAAGTAAGACTGGGTAGTAGGGCTGGGGATAAGGTGCAATCATACTACAGAGCTGGCCCGGGGCCGCCTCAGCTGGGATACAGGAATCCCGCAGGAGTCACACGCTTGGTGCCTCCAGAAATATTGGTAAGAATGACCACCAGGCTCCTTTATTCAAGGAACACTTTAGTGTGTGAAAACCTTCTGGTGAGATATTCGGTCTGATGTCAACAGCTGGACATGGAACAGTTCCTGTGACTGTCCTGTCAGCAAACACTGCTGGGTGTCAGCAGGACACCAGGCAGCCGCTCACCTTGTCTCCCAAATTCAGCCAATGGCCCCTTCATCTCCTGAAAAAAAGGGATTAAAACAACTTGTGATTGGTTGTATTTTAATGTTGATAATAACATGGTTATTGTGTGTGCAGAATAAAAGCAATGCCAATGCCCTGTGCTGTCCCCAGGACTCCGAGATTCAGAGAGATTTTGGTGGGCTGTGGGGGAACAGCAGTTTCACTGCACACAGGTTTCTCTGGGATTTTGTTTGTGGTCTGATTCAAGGCTGTTCGGAAGGGATTGTTTCTAATCAAACCACTTCTCTGAGTGGGAGCTTTTTTTGCATGTGGGTTCTCTGCTGCGGTTTGTCTCTTATTAGAGACATGAAAGTGTCTCACTTTGTCACCTGTTTCACACAGCTGGCAATGAGATGGTGTCAAGCTCTGTTGTCACATCAGGCATGGTTACACCATGATACCGGGGAGGGGCAGGGAAGATGTGATGAGCACACAGGTGTGGGAACACTGCTCTGCTCCACTGTTTGGAAGGAATGTGGCTGTTTAGCTCTGTTACAACCACCCTGGATCACAGATCACAGAATGGTTTGCCTTGGGAGGGACCTTAAAGACCATCTCATTCCAACCCTCTGCCATGGGCAGGGACATCTTCCACTAGATCAGGTTTTTCCAAGCCTCATCCAGCCTGGAGTGGCCAAGCTTGGCAGAGACCAAAGTCTGGAGGAAATGTGCAGGGACTTGAATACACAAGGATGTCAGGTACAGTGTGGAGGCATAACAGGATGGGATCACAAGGAATGCCAGCAGGAAGGGATGCTGGCTTGTCCAAACAACTACTGTGCCAGAAGATATCGGCTCTCTCAGGAAAGGATGAATGCTTAAATATTACCCTGTTTTTTCAGCTTTTACCCTGATGAGATAATTTTAAAACTATGACAAAAATGTAAGCGGCAGGGATGCTCCCAGTCAAACATTTACCTTGGGTGCTCAGTCTCCCAGATCAGAATCTCAGATCTTTGGCACGGGTTAGCAGTTCCCAAAAGTCAGTATGTCTGTTCACCACCCTGTTAACCCTGTCCTACACCTGCCCTCAGCACCGGATCTCTTGTTCCTGGTGCATTTACAGCGTGCTCTCCTCCAGTCCCTGTCACATTCCCTGTGCACTGCACTCACTCTAAGGGGTAAATCTCCTTTGCTGACAGGTTGCCACGTGTTTGAGGGATGAGTCCTGACAGCAGGCACTGCAGCAGCCCCTCACCTGGCCGGTGATGTTGCGGGTCATCCGCTGGTACTCCTCGTGTGCCAGCTTGGCCTTGATCCGCTCCAGCCGGGCCACCAGCTCGGGGTTCTGTGGGAAGCACAGACTCACCGTAAGAACCGGGGGCTGCCGCCACCTCCTCCCGCGACTCATGTCCAGCCCTCACCTACCCGCGGCGGCACCGGCACTTCGGGCAGGTGGATCTCGCAGCCTTCCAGCAGCTCGTGTAGGTGCAGTGGGGACCCTGTGTGGGGTGCGGGGGGGAAAGCGCGGTCACGGCGCGGTCACGGTGCGGTCATCGCCTCCCGCGGCGCAGTGCGGCCTACCTGCCTCCCGCAGCGCGGCGTGCACCCTCCGCAGCAGGCTAAAAGGCACCAGCGCTCCTTCTGTCGCCAGCGCCGCCTCCATATCACCCCGCAGCCCCGCGGGCAGCGCCGCCAGCTCCCCGGCCTGCACCGCCCGCCGCAGCCGCGGCCCGGCCCGCACCGACGACGCCATGTTGGCCCGGCGGCCGTCTCCAAGGCGACCGAGGGGAGCATAGAGAGGGCGGGGCAGAGCGGCCGCGCGGGGAGGGGGCGGGGAGAGCGGAGGGGGTGGTGCCGCGCGGTGCACTGTGGGCCGCGGGCGGTGGGATGTCGGGCGGCGCGGCGCGGCGGTACGTGGCGGCGGCGCTGGGCCGGGCTCGGGCCCGCGGGCCGCCCCCGCTCTGGGAGCCGCCTCCCGCCCGCCACCTGCGGGCCCTGGGCACCGGGGCGGGGACCGCGGCGCTCCCGCCGCTGCTTTTGCCGCCGCGGAGGCACCTGTCGTCGCGGTGAGGCCTGTGTGGGGTGGTGGTGTTTGGGCCCTGGGCAGGGGGCTGAGGGAGGGTTAGGGGAGGGCAGAGGGTTGTTGGGAGGGGAGGTTCGGGGAAACAGGCGGTGTGGGGCCGCGAGGGAGTGCTTGGGAATGGGAGCGGTTGGGAAGGGGCTCGAGGTTCGTGGAGGGTGTTTGGTGTGCGGATTGAGGTTCGGGAAGGCAGGTCGGGAGGGGCCGTGGGGGTGTTTAGAAATGGGAGTGATTGAGAGGGTGGTTGAGGTGCAGTGTAGGGGCAGTTGGGTCGTTGGGGGAAGGTTGGGAAGGAGTGGGGAGGCTGCCGGGGGGGTGTTTATGGATAAGGGTGATTGGAGCAGGTGGAGGCTCTCAGTGGGTGTTTGGGGAGCGGGTTGGAGGCTGTTGGGTCATTGGGGGAAGACTAGGAAGGAGTTGGGCTTGCTGAGGCAGGGATATGGGAAAGGGGATTGGGATAAAGGGACAAGTGGATGGGGATGTGGAGGACAATTGAGAAAGGGGAGACTGGCAAAGAGTGGGGGCAGGAAGTGGGGCTGGGCAGCCCAGTGCATAGCGGGGCTCTCATGAGGGGGTGTGTGGTACCCGAGGGAGGCACAGGGTGGGAGCAGTGTCTGTGCATCACCCTGGGCTCGGGTGCTGTGTTCCCCTGCTGTGTTGCCCCTGCAAACTCTCCAAGCTGCCTCTCTGCTCCAAGGAACCGTCCGGAAGGCAAAGTGCTGGAGACTGTGGGGGTGTTTGAGGCCCCGAAGCAACATGGCAAATATGAGACTGGTCAGGTAAGGGGTTCTGGGGGCAGAGCTGACCCTGGTCATGCCACAGGGATCAGACAGCCGAGGGATTTCCCGTAAGGAGGCTGCTGTAGTATAGCTGAAGGCCAGAAGTTTCACAGCTCAGTGCTCTTTGTCTCTGCTGTGTCTGCAGTTTGTCAGTCATCTGACAATAGCAGGTCGATAAGAATCTGCAGCCCGACACAACAGCTCTACAATGACATTTGCTCCACTGAGGGTTCTCTCCTTCAGGGTTCAGAAGAGACAATCTCTGAATTTAAGAAATAACAATTAAATTTGCCATTTCTGTGCTCACGACTCAGAGCTCTATTTCTGAGCAGTCTCTCCTGTGCTGGTCTCCTTTCTGCTGCTCTATTACTGATTTAGTCCCCTTTTATGGGATAGATGTTACATGGATTTCTCCTCTCATCCCCGACTGTTCGTGCTCACTGTTTCTGCTTTAGTTTCTCACAGTGGTGATTCTCCCTGTATCCCCATCCCACGCATTCAAACTCTTTGTAAACATTTCTAGTTTTACCTCAGTTAACAGATCTTTTAAATATTATCAGAAAAGGGCTTTAGGCTTCATGTTTTCTGTTGTATCTATGTTGATTAAAGCTTGCTGTGGATTCAACTTGCAATTATTTGTTCCTTTCAGCTCTTCCTGCACAGTGTGTTTGGCTATCGAGGAATAGTCCTGTTTCCCTGGCAAGCCAGGCTTTATGATCGGGATGTGGCTTCTCCTGTCACAGAAAAGTAAGGATTTGAGGGTTTGTTCTGGCTTATGTTGCTGTACTGTTACATTTTCATTTTGTAGCAAGTTTCCTGGTTGGGGTAAACAAATGTTTTTAAGGAGGCCAATGGTCTGTTTGCTTGAGTGTAAAGTAGGAGAGGTGCTTAAAGAGATATTGCAGGTGTATTAATTTTGTGTTAATTAGAGATGGGATGAAAGTATATGTGTGTGTGAAGGAAATAAAAAACAATTAAAAGTTCATGCTCCCGGCATTTTGCTTTATAAAAAAAACACCCATTTTGAGTTAGCTCCAGGTTCCTGTGTTACAAATTGCAGGCTGCTGCTGCTCCTTCTGTAATCTCCAGTGAGTTGGATTTGTCAGCCTCCTCCCCACTTTCAACCCACTAGGCCAAGTTCATCCTTCTTGAGTTGCTATTCGGTTCTCTCCCCTCTTGCATCCCTTTCCCTGTGATGAGGTGTGCTAGGAAGGAATAAGGATCAAGCATAGGAATACCCATCCCAGAGAGGAGACTGGACTGAGCAGGAAGAATGTCTGAGCTGTCTGACAACAGAGCTGTTGTGTCTCTGCCAAACACTGTCAGTGCACATCTTGGCTGATCTGTCTGTAATTGTGTGGGTGGCTGACAAGGATTTGGTTTGGATGGAATCAAATGTTTACAGACTGTGAAATATATTTTTTTTATTTTTAAAAAAACATTGTTTGTGTATGTGCTTGCTTCTGGTAACAAGAAATTGCTGCAATCCTGCACTTGAGCTCAGAGCTCTGCTTTTCTGTTTAGGAACGAGAATGTGGCAGGCCATGGGTCCAAAGAGGTCAAGGGCAAAACACACACTTACTACCAGGTGTTAATAGATGCCCGGGATTGTCCACATATAGTAAGTAAGGAGTAAACTTGGTATTGAAACTCAAGTGTCTTCTTATATGTGAGTGGGTCAGGTGGACAGGCACTGAAAGAAAATGGCTGTGGTGGCTAAATTTGGCTAGGACAAATTCGTTCTTCAAGACATATTTTCCCTGAGAAAGGTACACTGGAATGTCATATGACTGTTTTCTGGATCATGTTTCCCCTTTCCAGCCTCCTTTCCTCATCCTGTTATCGTTCCCACTCTGTTGCATGCACATTGCGAATGTGGGTTGCAGCACTGAAAATGCTCCTCACTTGTTAGTCAGTCTAGAGGAATGAAAAGGAGAGGTGTTCTGAGGTGAATTGGTTAAATAAACATTTCACGCTTAACAAACCACAACAGTAAACTGAAGCATGGCTGGAAACTGGCCCACAACAATCCACACAGAAAGACATAAGCTTCCCTTTTTCTCAGTCCCAGAGATCACAGACGGAAGCAGTGACGTTCCTGGCAAATCACGACGACAGCAGAGCCCTCTATGCCATCCCAGGTGAGCAAAATCCTCCTTCAGCCTCTGATTGTCGTGAGGGGAGGTCAGAAGAGTCATTAGTGGTCAGCTCCTGCCAGCAGCAATTCCTACAAGACATTCCTGTTGTGGATTTGTTTGTAGTTTAGGGCCGGGCAGGAAACAACTGAGTGACTAAAGTACATGAAGGCCTTTGGAGAGCTGGAAGTTGGGCACTCTGTGATCAGACACAGCTGTGCCTGATTTAATCTCTAGACATAGGTCCCATACAAAGTTGCATATAGGTTGTTCTTTGTTTGGGGCAGTGCAGGCACTTTGCAGGCACTGTGTGTTTATGACAGGAATCATTCCATGGAGAAATCTCACAGGAGAATGCTGCCGAGGGATATTGCTGACCTATTTCCTCCATTCTTGGTTGCAGTCGTGGTATTAGCTTTGCCTTCTGCTGACAAAGTCCTTTTCTTAACTTGTCACTAGTGTGATCAATTTTTCTGCCGGGAGACTTCCGAGCTGCTCTTTCGCTGGGGAAGTTCCAAGGCTTTTGGGGTTTCTTTTTCAGGTTTAGACTATGTAAGCCATGAAGATATCCTTCCCTACAGCTCCACTGATCAAGTGCCCATCCAGCATGAGCTCTTTGAGAGGTTCCTCATGTACGACCAAACAAAAGGTAATTTCTGGCTTCACAGGGAACTCTTCTGAGCCAGATGCTTGAGGTGCTCTGTAACAAGTGCTCAAAACCCATCGTCTTGGATATGGTGTAAAAATGATATCTGTTTTGGAGTTTGTTACAGTAAAGCCACCTCTCAATAATTTTTTTAACTTGAAAGGAGTTACTTTGAGGGGAGAGCACTCCAGGTACAGTATTGCCTCTCATAAACTCTCACCTTTCCTTCCCCATAGTCCCACCTTTTGTAGCAAGGGATACTCTATGTGCATGGCAGGAGAAGAACCACCCCTGGCTGGAGCTCTCTGATGTGCACCGAGAAACCACGGAGAACATCCGCGTCACGGTCATCCCTTTCTACATGGGCATGAGGGTAGGTGTGTGCTGCATGTTGGTGTGTTAGTTCTGCCCTCTGCTTAACTGACATGTTTTTCTAAGGCCAGTTCACTGACTTAGGGCATTTTCTCCTTACTGGAGAAATGACATTTTAATCGCAATTAATGACTGAAATGACTTTAATCACAGTTGCAATTTCATTCTCGTGATGTGCAGCAGAGGTGTGAACAGGAAACTGTTTTGTCATGCATTTTTGGAGAACAACCCCTGTATTTTGGCATTTGCTTGTTATCGGTAGGATGGGAATTACCCTGTAATGTTCTGCAGAGCAGCGCTAGCAAGATATTTAGGAAGGCTTGTGAATTAGTCCTGTACTGCCTCACTCAGAGATGGGTGTGCATGAGGTGGCACCGGGGCCATCTGCCCTGCAACAACAGACACATCTGTTATCCTGCCCAGTGATGGGCTGTGGGTGTCTGCCTGTTTCCTGGCTCCAGTGTGAGTTAGAGGGTTTGGCTGAAGCCTTCTGGATTTAGCTGATAACCATATGCTCTTTATAGCATAGGAACTTCATGTGGACCATCCGAAATAATGAGGCTCCAACAGACTCCTGAGTGGGAGGGCTGGGAATTCCCACAGTGCTTTGATTTCTGAGCACAGCTGCCGGGGACTCCATGCCGTGGCAGGTGGATGTTTTGGTGTGGATTTGCAACTTCTGTGGAGCCCAACTGATGTTTGCCCTAACCTTGTCAGAAAAACAGGTGCCTGATGGCAAGG